GAAGGAATTTGCTTCGTACCGCACAGAATATTCACTGAAATTTGCATATAAATCGGCACAAACGTTTTCGGGTAAAAAATTAAATTGACCGATTTTTGGCAACAGCTGATGTGGTTTGGTTCCTGTCCACGTCTTCTCATGCTTCGTATATTTAAAATTGATAGAAAAAGCGATAGAAAAAGAAGGCATATGGAGTATATAGCGATTCTATTGATTAAAATGGGTGGTTCTTATTTACCAAGGGGGCAAATGATGGACTAACTATAGGGAGTATAGGGTCTCCCGTGGGTTCCCGTTATACTTAGTCTATTACATACCTAACTTGTCCATTGCAACCATCCGCATCCACCAATCGGATCCCTCCATATCACTTTTGTCTTCTTTGTCTATAGTGCCCCGAATACAAAAACGAGTCGACTTTTTCAAACAAAAACTCACTCAGCAGTCCAAAAAGTCACTCAGTGCCTAAAGGCAAATTCTTTCGGGCCCTCACCGTGCCACCAGCTCTTTCGGTGTTTTGAGAAGGCTAGCCGCTTTCGAATTTTATTATTTGACCGTTTTCCTCATCGATCCGACTTAACCTATCAAGTTCACCAGGCGTGGCGTGCTTTGCTCTATCTGCCGTCCATAGCAAAAACGCCGAAACTCCACCCAAAATGGTTTCATTTTCAGCAGCACGTACTGCTCTATTACAAGAAAATGCAATGGAGATGTTGTATGTGTGAGGAATTTGCGATTTGACTGTTGATTTATATGTAAAAGTTCGCGAGAAACACGATGGTGCCACTGATTTTCTCTGAAATCAACTCCCAAGCTCAAAAAAAGCTCTCAAGTTGAGGCCAAAATGGAGGGGATATCCCACTCTACCCTGAGAGTCCACCTCTACATCAAAACAAACTCTCCGTGCAAAGATAGGGAGCAAATGAATTAGCAGGGTTGCCGTGTTTTCAGTTTTGGAGTCCCCAAATAAATTGGCAACCCTGCTAATCTATTTGCTCCCTATCTTTGCATAGAGAGTTCGTCTTGATGTGGAGGTGGACTCTCAGGATAGCGAGGGATATCCCCTCCATTTTAGCTTCAACTTGAGAGCTTTTTTTGAGCTTGGGAGTTGATTTCAGAGAAAATCAGTGGGACCATCGTGTTTCTCGCGAACTTTTACTTAAGAATCAATGGTCAAATCGCAAATCCCTCACACATGCAATATGTCCATTTTCAGTTCCTAATGGTGTGGCGGAGTTGTATCGAAAAAATGAAGGATGAACAGTTATTAGGTTTTTTGTAAAACAGCATTACATCAGGAAGACATTGAAAAAGTGTTGGATGGAGATACGATGCTTTTACTTCGGACGGCAGATATATCGTTAGATCTGTCATTCAAACCTATGGAAAAGGATCGATAAGCAGGGTGTTCGCAGCGAACACCTTAATAATCGATTCTTTACCACATTTTCAAATGGAGAAATATCGATAATCGATCATTCACGCCACGCCACCGAAGTTTACCGGCTTCTCGAACGTGGAAAGACCAAAAATTCAATTTTTCACCGAGGTTAGAGCGCGGGTCATTTCATTTTTGTGGTTTCCTGAGACACGTGTCTCCCTCAACCATCCGCGACTCGGACTCCCATGTCACCGATACGTTAATCTCGTGAGACCTTTCACCCCCAAATAATATTATCCAACCTCTACTTATAATTATCACTGTACCGCGAGAACTCACACATGTCAATTTTTAAACACTGTTACAGTGTTTCACCGATCATCGATGCCAACTTTCAGAGGAAATAATTAAAACGTTAGACTACGTATGTAACTTAAGCGCCTATCATTACAGCAGCCTTTGGCGGAAGACAGCCACCCCTTTATAGAAAAAGGTCTTTACTCGCCCGTTTTGAAAAATATTCAACTCCGAAGAAAAATTACAGAAGACGAAAGAAAAACACAGTTCAGCCAAAAATTTGAGTAAATTAGAAAATTGAGGAGGATGCATGGATAAGCCCCTAAAAACTGAGCACAGAGCTGCTCACATCACTGGCGGATGAATGAATATGTTTTATCTTTTAACTTTTGATGACTGTCTATTAAAAAGAGTGAAATGTTTCATTTATCAAAGGATTAATTTATAAAAAAGAAAACACGACCATATTATCTGAGATTTGAACAAAAAGATCATAGTGTGCGAGATATTTATTATAATAATAAAAAGTCCAGAAATTAAAAATCTGATATTAAAATACACAATGACAACCTATTATTGTGGTATCATTGACCGATATTGGATATTTGTCTACGATAATAGACCAGCTGCCACTTTTATCTCGTTCCTTTCGTGTTGCCCCCTTGATATTTAAGTTTTGCCCCGAATTGGTTTAACTTTGTGCACCATTTCATAAAGTTATGAAATTGACATAAATTCCAAATGCGTGTGCATACTGCGATATCGGCTTACCACCTATCTACTTCCGTTTAAAAAACAAGCAATCGAGATGCTTCTCTTGGCTCTGTTGACAAAGTAACCAAATTCTCGGAGATAAAAAGTATAAAATGTTGTTTACTTATGCAAGTTTATAATTTTTCTTGATAATATTTACCTTATTTGCGTCAGTTTGCCTTCTCACACGCGGTACCGTGTAAATCCTCCAAATTCAAGCATGAAAGAGAGAAATGGCACGTTTCTCCATTATACCATTTCTCGGGGGCCATTCTAATCTCACTATGATTGAATGTCTCGCTAGAAAAACCCCTCAAATTGGAAAGAATGAAAATTCCAATCTCTGCAGAAAAGTTGTTTTTAGGGTCATATACATCTTCTTCTTTTTACCTAACATTGGAAAGATAGGCACAACTTTTTTTTGCGTCCGAAAAACGCCCAACTCAAAGTTTTTAAAAACGCTAAGTGTGTACGAGCTGCAAAGTTTCCTATCTTTTGCTACGAGACTCTCTTTAGGAATTGAATAACATGCGACAAAAGGTGGTTGAAATGTTTAAAGGAACTAGGTAATAGACCATTTAACGGCAACCCACGAGAGACTCATTGATTAGTCCATCATTTTCTCCCCTAGTCTATAAGAACCACACCTTTTAACCAATAGGCTCGCTCCATATTCCTTATGTCTTCTTTGTCTATAGCTTCGTCTATACATTTCAACAATCAGCCCGCTGGTCCCCCTGCTTTCTCTAGCATACATCCGTCCTTAAATTTATATACAAAGCTACAGACAAAGGAGACAAAAGGGATATGGAGGGATCCTATAGGTGGAAGCGGGTGGTTGCAATGGACAAGGTAGGTAGGTAATAGACTAAATAACGGCAACCTACGAGAGACCCTTTAGTTCGTCCATCTTTTACCCCCTTGGTCTATAAGAACCGCACATTTCAACCAATAGGATCGCTCCATATTCCTAATGTCTTCTTTGTCTATAGCTTTGTTTATCAATTGCAACAATCAGCCTCCTGCGGGCCGATTATTGACATCTATAGACAAAGCTATAGACAAAGAAGACATAAAGAGTATAGAGTGATCCTATTGGTTGAAATGGGTGGTTCTTATAGACTAAGAGGGTAAATGATGGACTAATTATCGGGTCTCTCGTGGGTTGCCGTTATTCAGTCTATTACCTACCTACCTTGTCCATTGCAGCCACCCGCTTCCACCAATAGGATCCCTCCATATCTCTTTTGTCTTCTTTGTCTATAGCTTTGTCTATCAATGTCAATTATCGCCCCGCCGGCTTTCTCTAGTTCTGCCTACCTATCTATCTGCCCCCTCCTTCCTAAAGATATCTCTAACTGAGACAGTCGCCGTTGTGGTGTATCACTGACGAGTAAACCGGCAACAAGTAAAGTCTACAGCGGTAATAACAGGACTCACGTGTCTCAATGAAAGTAATTATGTCGGTACTGCGATGCAGTATTCACGTGACACACATTCGAAAAGTAAACAGACCGAAACAACAACAACAACAACAACAACAACGGCGATTCAGTTTATTCCTCCTTTTTTTCGTATTAGATCAGCAATTTACTCATCGCCGCTTAATTCCCCGTCCGCCGATGGGATTGAGAGCGCGACGCGGCTCTTAAAAACTTGTTATTCGAGATAGCGCTGGAGTCGCTGAGTTTTTCCTACGTCTGACGAAAGGTCATGAGGTGAGACACGGAGGAGGGAAAGAGGGGAAATAAATAATTCTCTGTCTATGCGACTGGGAGGTATGGTTTTGCGGTTCTACAAATTTTGCAATTTTTTGAAGTGCACACTGAAAAAAAAAAGAAGTAGAAAATTTCGACGGTGAAACTACAAGACCGCGACGTTGCAGATTTCCTGTCATACTTTGTTTTATACATGAAAAACCACTCAACGTCAATTCTTGAAAACTTCCGTAATTTTTCCTCTCCTTGTAAAAGAAGTCTGTAAAAACTTAAAGGAATGAAATTGATTTGATCTCTGTCAAAAAAGTAAAATGGGGACTGAGATTTTTAAACACAGCAAACGAGATACGTGGTCTGGTAGTTTCACTGTCGATTTGGCCCGTTTTGCCAGAAGTATGGTAAATTCTATCTTATCTTTGGTCTACTTGATTCTGACTCAGTGATACCGCATGGTAAAGATAACGAGACACACGGTAGTATTTACCATACTTTTGGTGAATGTGATCAGAGTGCGTACAATAGAGTCTGTTGGTGATTACCATACTGATATCACTTTATCTCAAGTCATACTTTTTTTCAGTGAATCAATTTTTTTATTTTTTTTATTTTTGCAGGCCCCCAATGACATCTCTTAATGTATTTGAGAAAAAAATTTTGATGATACTGTTGAGAGAGGTAATAATTCGTTTATTTTGTTCATTTGTTTTTTTTTTTTTCAATTAAAGACTATTGAATCTTAATTAAATATGCCATTCGTTATCACGCTCGTGATCATCTGAAGTGTCACTCTTGAGTATTGATATTTTCAAACTTTTGATTGTAATTCTTCACGGTTGTTTGATCTGTTCCAGGCAAGCATGCAAATTATTTTACAAACATGATCCTTTGAAAATAGTCCGAGCGGAAAGACAGTATATGTATGATGAAAATGATGTACAGTATTTGGATTGTATCAACAATGTTGCACACGGTGAGTCCAAACAATATAGAATACTCTCTTAACTAGCCCATGTAGCTCTCTATCTTCCAAATGGCAATTTAATGATTTTTCCATGGGAAAGTATGTGTTGCGAAAAAATGTAAAATTATATTCGGATACGCGCTCGAAAATCTTTTATTGGAAGTGTTCCTAAAAGTCAGAGAGTGCAGGGCCGTAGCCGTTATTTTAGAGGTGCAAAGTTGTAGCGCCTTTAAATAATTAAAACATTTTTCGGAAAATGGACGATGCTGCGATAAAAATTAGTAATAATTTACGTCATCACATCATGGGCGACACTGGAATAAAATGTTGGTATGAGAGAAACAAGCAAACCAACGAGCACCAAGCGAATTTCATTACATCGCCTGTATGCAACTATTTGAGCACCACGGATGTCCGTGTTGCATAAGCACGGACGTTAAGGCGTTTTTATCTCCAGACAATCATGACTTTATCACTCCTTCCGTGGCGCGGCTGCGGGTTGTACTGCGAGAAGCCAAAATGGCAGAGCCCCTCCATTTCTCCGCTTATACTATAAAGACATTCACTACGCACGAATAGTTTCACACAAATGCGTATGAGGATGTGAGTGGGTTTTGTGGTTCAATTTTGATGTAGAGATGTGCTGAGCATAATTTGTAGAGCAATTGATCTGATTATTGAACATATCTGACTTTTCACTTAGGCATCTGACAAAATTCCTGATTTGACTATTTGCCTGTGACATATACAGGTCGGTCATTCCCAAATAGCAGTGATCGCGATAAATAGCGATTTTATCGGTTGGATATCGCGACTATATCGGTTGCAATATATCAGGCTCGGACTGGCCATAAGGCCAATCTGTCATTTGCCGCAATCAGACGCTGAATTTAGCAGCTGAATGTGGAAGTCAACAGTAATCGCCCAACGGCTGAAATTTAGCAAATTCGAGTTATTTTCATCCAGATGTGTATCAAATCTACTCGAGTAGTTCAGACAAATTCAAAATTGGTCCGATGGTTGCTGAGAATCATTGCTGAATTTTGCGCGTCACGCGCAAAATTCAGGCATCGGGCCGATGACTTACACATTCAAGCCACATTCAGCTCCCACATTCAGCGTGTGATTGCGGTGATTGGCAGATACGCCCCCTTTGCGCGCCGGAAACGCGCCCCTCTTACAGATAGCAAAATAAGAAGAAAAAAAATTTCGACCGAGAATATGTGAGAAAAATTTCTTAAATGAACGGAAGAAGAGAGAGTTAGGAGTAAAGAGAGGTGCTTGAACGCATGATAGTGGTGAACAGAGGTCCAAGAACTACTTTCTGAAGCGTAAACACTTTTCTGCGAAATTTTCACCTTCTTCTTGACATACAGGTCCTTCATCATGCCCCTCCTTCATTCGCTATGTGTAACTCCCTTAGAAGCGATGGTCGGTTCGATTTTTGGACATACGCATCCTTTCTACACCTCTTAAGAGACCTTTAAACATATTTTCTCCTTTTCAAATGACTATTGACTTGGACGTACCACAGCATAGCTCGGGCAAACTTAACCTTAATTTATCTCGAAATTCAAAAATAAGAGACATCTAAAGTGTAAACGCAATACAACTATTCGCGCAAGATGGATGTCCACATTGCATGCGAGAAATGTAAGACGCGATGCCGTGAGTCGTGAACTCGCAATGTTCTGCTCTAGTTTGAAGCAACATTACAAATAAGAAAAACGCAAACAAACACAATATGGAAATAAAGCGAGGGAAAGGATGCGTGTTAACGACGGCGCAGAGATTACAACATATTCGTACTTGATGGACGTACGTGCTGCATCTGAAAAATTGAAGGCGCGATGACGCGAAGCGTGAGCTCTCAATGCTCTGCTTTATGCTGTCAATGAAGCGTCGCTCTGATTCGGGAGAAAAATTTAAAAAAGGCCTGAAGACATCTCTCCTACCTTCGGCTGTATTACTCACGTAGTGCTTGAAGCACCATTACGAATAAAACAAACGGAAACAAACACAATAAGGAAAAACAAGGAGGGAAAGGATGCGTGTTTACGACGGCGCAGAGATACAACTATTCGTACTTGATGGACGTCCGTGCTGCCTCTGAAAAATTGAAGGCGCGATGACGCGAACCGTGAGCTCTCGATGCTGTGCTTCACGTTCAATTTTGCAATTTTTACTCCGTGCGATCAATAAACTTTGAACCTGAAAATAGCGTAAACTTGTGCTGATTTGCCAAAATTTTCTGAACCCCTCTCCACGCAGGAAATGCCATACCAGGAAAAATCACATTGCGCCCCTTTAACCAGCCAAGGGTCTACGCCCTCAGATGCGAGCCAGTCCGACCCAGCAATGTATCAATATTAATATTATCGCATAAAAAATTGCGATATATGGCGATTAAATCGCTACACATCGCAATTTTTGGTTCGATAAAATCGTGATCAATTTTCATCGATAAAATCGACCTTAAATCGCCATTTATCGCGATTTTTATTTCGAAAATATCGCGATAAATTGTCGGGCGATAAAAGCGCGATTGTACTGCAACAAGATCGAGGATAATCGCTTAGATGTTGATGACCCTAGCGATTTTATTGCCGATTAAATCGAAAAATATCTCGATTTTTCCGTTGAAAAATGCTACTTGGGTTTTGAGATGACTTAAATTGCGGTCATCTTTGTATCTCATTTCGTTGAATTCAAAATGCAACGCATCTTTATCATAATCTTTGAATTGGTTTCTGTTCAAAGTTGGCCATTGTCATCCAGAGGTAGTTAGAGCTGCATGCGATCAGCTAAGTATCCTGAACACAAACAATAGGTTTCTGCACGACAATCTAGTGATCTGCGCCAGAAAGCTGACCAGCATCCTCCCGGAACCACTCTCGGTTTGTTTCCTCGTCAACTCCGGCTCAGAAGCCAACGATCTCGCCCTCCGATTGGCCAGGATACACACCAAACATCATGACGTCATCACAGTTGACCAGTGAGTATTTTTTCCCCTCCTCTCTTACCATTGTTGTCGGTCCTGATTTATCTAACTCGAGGGACAGATGAACTTGTTTTAGCCAAAAGCTTTTTACTTCCTGTGAAATTTACTAATAATTGCCGAGAACAATGGCGCTCCCCTCCAAGTATACCTAGAGACGACCCAAGTTTGTTGAGTTTACAGATGGACGATGTTTTGTTCCTTTTCCACTTTTTTCTTCCCTCCGCTTTATTATTAATCTTATGAAGTAAAATCCATTTTTTTTTTTTTTTTTTTTGGACAAAAGTATTCAAACCTAATTTAAAGCTATACTTTGCATAAGTGACAGTTAAAAATGTCCAATCGTAAATAGGGTGTCAAATGGTTAAACTCCCATAAAAGGTTACCATACCACTGCCCAGCTTCCTTAATTTTGCTCTCCAACCCAGTGAAAACACAGGTTTTTGTTAATATTATCACTGTAATTAAACTTGTAGTCAACAATCCTCTTCAAGGGGTGCAAAGTCTGATAAAAGCAAAACATTGTGATTTTTAAGCCATTATGCACCCTAAGTATATTTTTTCAATATTATGAAGAGATTTAAATAATTCCTTGAGGAATAGATTTCTTAAAATCTTGTAGAATTGTGCCTGAAGTATGGCTGTCTAGTAAAATTTACCATGAATGGTGGGATGATAGGGTTTAAGGTTTACAGTGAAATGTTAAAGGGTTTAGGGTTTAGGGTTTAGGGTGTACATTGAGAGATTTAGGCGCTAGTTGTCTTTTATGGTTGATTACAGTGCATATCACGGTCATCTGACATCCCTAATCGACATTTCACCGTACAAATTCAACCTTCCCGGTGGAACAGGGAAACCTTCATGGGTCCATGTCGTAAGTATACGTCACTTTATTCGCATGTGTCGCCGTCTCCGCTTTTCAAATAGGGTTCAAATACAATGAGAAGTGTCTTTTACGTAGCAGGAAAGAACCAATACATAAATGGACCAATACAGGGTGATCCAAAAGTCCCTTCCACCCCCTCTAACTTTTTACCTAATTGAGGTAAAGATTTGAAACTTGGGGGATATTCCTAGGTCAAAGGAAGCTACTTTTTGGCCCCCCTAAAATTTTCAGGGGGCCCCCCCTTGGGGGGGCAACGGCCCCCAACTTTTAATTTTCAAATGGGAAGACCCCCTTTGTGATAGCTCGTTCGAAAGAGCATAAAAAAAGAAAACTTTTCGCGCAAACCCGAAGTCAATATCTCAAACCGTTTCAAAATGGCGGCCGGTTAAAGTTCAAGATGGCCGAAAATTCACACCGGTTATTTGTCGATGGATTTGCGCGAAAATCGGTATGTAGGGGTATTTTGACACGAGAAAAACGAATTTGACGTTAGATTTTCAAAAAAACCGAAATTTCCGAAATGGCCGCCGGTTACAGTTCAAAATGACAAAAAATTGATTTTTTCAGAAATCTAAGTTCAAATTTGTTTATCTTATGCCAAAATACTCTCAAATTCCAAGTTTTAGGCAAATCCATCAGCAAAAAACCGAGGTGACAATTTTCGGCCATTTTAAACTTTAACCGGCGGCCATTTCGGAAATTTCGGTTTTTTTGAAAATCTAACGTCAAATTCGTTTTTCTCGTGTCAAAATACCCCTACATACCGATTTTCGCGCAAATCCATCGACAAATAACCGGTGTGAATTTTCGGTCATTTTGAACTTTAACCGGCCGCCATTTTGAAACGGTTTGAGATATTGACTTCGGGTTTGCGCGAAAAGTTTTCTTTGTTTATGCTCTTTCGAACGAGCTATCACAAAGGGGGTCTTCCGATTTGAAAATTAAAAGTTGGGGGCCGTTGCCCCCCCAAGGGGGCCCCCCCGAAAATTTTAGCGGGGCCAAAAAGTAGCTCCTTTTGACCTAGGAATATCCCCCAAGTTTCAAATCTTTACCTCAATTAGGTAAAAAGTTAGAGGGGGTGGAAGGGACTTTTGGATCACCCTGTATATTGTGGGCAAAGAGTCCGTGTCCCTAGTAGCAATGGCTCTTTAAAAAAATCTACGAAAAGTTGTCCAAACAAATGTTAAAAACTTTTTTAAGAGTTCGTAAGTCTAAGTTAACTCGTAAAATACTCGTTTTAGGAATCCCTTCTGGGGAATTCTTTTAAATAAAAAAATAGTGTCAGTTTAATTAAAAGAAAACGTAAAATTTACGTGAAAAACAACAAACTATATCCTCAATTTTTATGGGCTGCAACTTTTCCTTTGATACTTTTCTGTTCACCACTTTTTTCCTCGTTTTTGCTCGCAGGAAGTGAAATAAATACGTAAATTTTACTTAAAATTTAAGTAAAACAATTTACTAACATTTTAAGTAAAACAATTTACTTTAAATTTACGTAAAAAATTTACTTAAAATTTTTCTTCTAATTTATGTAAAAAAAGTCCCATAAAGGGTTTCCTGATAGGAATATTTTAAGAGTGCTTTACGTAATTTTCAAGTGGTTTTGAAGTAAATTTTAAATTCTCTTAAAATTTACGAGTTTTTTACAACTTTTCTCAACAGCCACTGCTCCTAGGGGAATCGTTTTAAGAGGAGGGGAAGGATGCATAATGCTACTACTTACTCTTTCTCCTCTTTTCCCCTAGAAATTGCCCTGCTCCTTTAAAGGAAACGGAACTTTAGGCACGGTAAGAATCAAGAGACCATATAATACCTATATGTTTTGTTCCCCCATCAAAATATCATGCAAAACATGTCAAACCGTCAAATTATAAATTCGGCAAGCGGACATTTGCCCGTAGAAAGTTAAATATTTACTCATGCAGTTGTCAATGAACGGTAAACTCAAATTACTTCTTTCTCTCGAAAGTGTCTTTTGTCAAATGGAAAGTGCGAGTCTGTACTACATTATGAATATAATCACAATCAGTCTGGGTTTCAAATAGAGAGACATAAATCTTCCGTTTAACGCGTCTTGTAGGCATACGATTGTAATAGCATTTTTTATGAAGAGCTATTAATGATAAGATAATACAGTATCACGGCTGGTAAGTAAATGATTTATTACCAGAGTAGTGGGTATGAATATGATAATGTCAAAGGTCTAAGGTGTGCGATGTACGGTTGACTTCATATTCGAACGTAAACAAGAAAAAAAGCGGCCTGCTGAGGCTGAACTATCGTTGATATGTGTTAACCTGATGACTTTTTTATGGTGCCTCATTCTCGTAAAAAACGAGAGAAAATGGAATTTTTATCTGCATTTCCTTGTCGCGTTAAATGACTTACCTAGAGTATACCCAATCGTCTTCATACTTCCGTGCTCAGGAAGAAAGTCGTATGCTGTCGTGCAACGCAAAAACGCCGTAAACGCCATTTTACATTTTTTTGGAAACAATGTATCATAGCAGAAAAACTTGCGCACCTTGGGAGAGTATTTTTACAGAATTCTTTCGCAAATATTATCAAAAACTTAACCTGAAAATTTGAGGTGCATTATTGGTAAAACGGTTTATATCTTATAAAGTGTTAAGTTCCAAAAAACGAGGGAAAATCTTAATGGATTTACGGCGTTCCTGCTTAGCACAGCAGTATGAGCCTGTTGCAGAATTTCCGGTGATAAAAAAACTAATTCTCTAGGAATCTTGTGATTATTTTCCTGAAAATTTACAAGTAATTTTGCTCGTAATTTAGTCTAAATTATTTGAACATCTTGAGGAAAAACATTCAAAATTTTTTTCAGAATATATATTCATTCAAGGGAAACTGGCAACACCCTAATGTTTATACGTTTACTCTTAGAGGCCATAACGTTTAAGGATCGGCAATAATACTCTACTTGGTTGAATTTTGCACAAAATGCTTAAAATGATCATTTTTCCTACCTTGTGTCGAAAACCGACGCGAAATGACGAAACCACAAATGTTCAATCAGGCAGTGCTCAACCCCTGCGCGAAGTTATTTAGATCTTCCTTCGTCATTTTCACTCTTGAAAGGGCAAAAAAACATTGCTCAATGTGAATGTATTTATACTATTGTAATTGGAACTTTGAAAAAATAATTAAATCAAAAGGAATCATCCTACAAGTCCTATACATATATTTTCTTTCGACTTATCTCATTTGTTCATAGGTCTTCTTAACATAAATATGTTCAATTATAATTCATCATCACGAAAAATAGACTAAAAGTCTGCAAAGCTGCAGCCCGTTTTAATAAAATTAATTTGTGGTTTCACTTAGAGTCCCTTTATACAATACGAATCCATTTCTGATTGGTTCCCGTACATTAGACCTTCTCAGTGTCACAAACGGCAAGAAAGATTACATTTTCACCAATTGCAAGGATTATAAACTGGAGTGGACCGCACATTAAAGGCACGGCAAAAAACAAACGATGTGAGAGGAGAAGCGGAGACAGAAATTCGAGAAGGAGTTGAAAAAAGATTACGAAAAACGTTCAATTTGTGTAATCTTTATTCCCGTTTGTGACATCCATGAGCCGCATTGTCTTAACTTTCCCTATAAAGAGACTCCAGTCTCAACATGTCAACATGTGTTTCGCATAAGCGACCCTAGGCTATTATCATACGTTCCCCCTTCATTTACCAAAGTAGGCAACCCAATCGTTCGGCTATTCCGTCTCTACGGGGTATTGTCCTCATATGAACCCTTATTTAATTTCAACAAACTGTACTTAAAGCTGTTGGTGTAGGTTTCCCCTTCATTCATCAAATTAGGCAGCCCAATCATTCGGCTATTCCGTCTCTACGGAGTTTTATCCTCTTATGCCTTGAAAAAAATTATCGGTGTTTTAACCAAGGTCCGTTGGTACCTTTACCATCTTACTTTTTTTTACCGATTATTGGTAATTTATCAAGACAGACTGGTAAGCTTACCTAAAAACCGGTATTTTTACTGTTTTTTCAGGTAAGACTACCACTTTTATTGGTAATCAATTCCCGGTAACTTTGCCATTTTATCTCGGTAATTCTACCGCAGTCGATAGTAAACATTGGCGTTTTTACCAAGGTCCAGTAAAATTACCGAGAAAGTTCAATAATTTTACCGAGATTTCTCGGTAAAATTATCAATTCCATAAATAGTAATTTTACCAAGAAAAAACTGGGATCAAATAGAACCCTGCATTCTTGGTAATTTTACCCTTTTCTCATCAAATACACCGAGATTATTTTTCAGTGTGAACCCTTATTTAATTTCAATAAACCTTGCTCAAAGCTGTTGTCGTACGTTTCCCCTTCATTTATCAAATTAGGCAACCCAACTATTCCCGCATTTCGTCTCTACATACGGAGTATAAGTCCGCACACGAATCCTTATTTAATTTCAATAAACCTTGCTCAAAGCTGTTGTCGTACGTTTCCCCTTCATTTATCAAATTAGGCAGCCCAACTATTCCCGCATTTCATCTCTACATACGGAGTATAAGTCCGCACACGAAACCTCATTTAATTTCAATGAACTTTGTGCTCAGGCGCCATGTCCAGACACGTACAGAGGAAAGTATCGGGCCTCCGATTATCCGCCAGGGACAGACCTGGGCGCCAAGTATGCCGACGATGTCCGTCTCCTCATCAAAAAGGCTGTCGATAGCAACAGGACGATATCAGCCTTCTTCGCCGAGAGTCTCATGAGCTGTGGAGGACAAGTCATTCTGCCTCCGAATTACTTGAGAAATGTTTATAGGTAATAATAGAGTCCCTTTATACTGAGAGTCAAGACAATTTGAATCCATTTCTGATTGGTTCCCGTATTTTAGGCCTCCACAGTGTCACAAACGGGAATAAAGATTACATTTTCACCAATTGCAAAGATTATAATCTGGAATGGACCAGGGAATTACGGGTTCGGGAAGGAACAAACGGAATGAGAGGAGGAACGGAGAAAGGCATTTGAGAATGGGCCGATCACAGATTACGAAAAACGTTCAATTTCTGTAATCTTTATTCCCGTTTGTGACATCCATGAGCCGAATTGTCTTGACTCTCAGTATAAAGGGACTCTAGGTAATAACTCGACTATTTCCTTAAGAGTGCGCTCACAGAAGCGGATCCAGCAATTTGGCAACGCCGGATTTCCTCAGTTTAAACCTACGTTAAATAATCGATTTTTGTCGGAGCATCTGGCCCCTCCAAGAATCGATACATTGCCGTAGGTTTAAATGGAGAAAAAACAATGTTGCCAATTTGCCGGATCCGCCAATGTGCGCTTATTCATTTGAAGAGTTAATTTTTATTCTGATCAATTTCAAAAAATGTAAAAATTCAAAATCGGTCACTGGTTCCTCTTCTGCGATGCCATGAAAGCACTTAACTTTAACAGGCCGAGAAAAATTTATGATTTTGAGGCTTAAAATAACATTAAAATTTTGATGGAGTTCAGAGTTGTGTTAGCCTCAATTGCTTTACATTTCTCTGATTACTAACCAATTTTTAACCGGTGGAAAGGCTCTTCGTGACATTTTGAAGGGACGATCCATATCCGAGTTTAGATTTTTACAATGGCGTTTCTTCTTATTACACCAGAGGAGCACTGTTTCAGCTTTCCGAAGACATTCAAGAGTAAATTATGAAATTTTGATGTATGATCGATAAAAAAAACTTGAAAATGAATCCAGAGCTAGCATCAAACTCGTCACGTTTGAATAAAAAAATTATTAACCAGGAAGCAAACTTTAAACATCCGAATACAAAAAAATGATCCTGCACGGAGGATTTTCCTGAATTACCTTGAAAATTTAAAGGCGGGTTTTCTGTTTAAGATCTCCGTCACAATAAAATGGATTTAAAAGTCTTTGAATGATTCCCTTAATAAACTATTAAACGATACTTGTACTTTTCCATTTTAGGTATGTGAGGGAGGCTGGAGGTGTTTGCATCGCCGATGAAGTACAAGTAGGTTTTGGCCGTGTTGGGAAGCACTGGTGGGCCTTCCAACTTCAAGGAGATGATGTCATTCCTGATATCGTTACTGTCGGTAAGTTCTCGTAGAATTTTTCATATATTTCATTTTTCAAATCGCACGAGGTCAATATGTCTGGAAGGCTTTTAAGCTCAATCCGGTCGTGGCAAAACATGCGTTTCAACCACGAGCGCATTTGGGCACACCGTGCACTACAGCGGCTTGGCGTGCTTTGCGACAAATCGATTGATCAGCCATTTAAAGCTATCGAAAAGGATCGATTAGCAGGGCGTTCGCAACGAATACCTTACAAATCGATTCTTTTCCATAGTTACAAATCGAAAAATATCCATATTCAATCATTCACGCCTCGCCACTGGGTGCACTGTAAGGTAGGCCGAAAAAAATACGGAAAGACGATTGAGAGATACCTTTAAGGTTCCGTGCCTTGAAAATTTAATCATGCTGAACCACACGAGAAATCGCCAAGACGGCAAAATGACTGAAGACATCGCTTCAGAGACTTTAACGCAGGGTAGAAAAGAAGGCGTACCGACAAATGCGACTTGCTAGCCGCACGAAAGCATTAACTCTTAAATTTGCTCATACTGAAACACGCCAGAGATTTGTAGATGTTTATTGGCACCCACTTGTGCTTTTCCTGTAACTTCAATTGGCGAAAAAAACTATTAACAATGAGTGCGACTCGTTATGGCTGCGAATGTGGCGAAGTTGCGAAATGTTGGGAGATAGTCTCCTATTGTGCTGAATTAAAGTATTCTCACAAGAACATGTTTTATTGTTAATATACACTGAGTTGACAAAAATTAAATGCACGAAAGGATCTCAACTTTAAGTACTCTTATTAATATTGTGCACTATAGCGGAATACGAAACTTCAAACCTCTTCTTCCGGGTTTAGTCTTAATATCACCGGGCAGACCAGGCTGTTTCCTACTGAAGTGGGTGCGTATAAGTTTCCACAAATGAGGGGCTTGGAGGATGGAGGACAAGGCGCATAAGTGCAGTTTTTTAAAAAATTGAGATATTAATTATTTCATGTGTAAAGCTAGTCTTAATGCATATTCTGTGAAAAATTTGCTCCCAAATTCCAATTTTTAAACATCAAAAAGTCAGTTTAAACTTTCTTTCCGCCATAAGGATCCAGGACCGGATTAAGGGGGTGGCCACATGGGCACAGCCCATGGCGGCAAATCTACAGGGGGCGGCAAATTTTGCGCTTTTTTTAAATGTAGGTATAAAAAAAATCGAATTTAGAAAAAAAAAATTACAAACGAGAGAAGGCGACAAAATCTCTCATTTCCTGAGAGTGTAGTCATTTCTAATTTTGTCGTCTTTCAGTGATACAAGAGAGAGCACCTTTAATTAGTCGAGTTAAGAGAGAAACCAAACACGCAATTTGGCCTGGAACGGTGCGACTTAGAGAGAAATGATGACGAGGCCTTGAGATGAAAAGGAGAAGCCCTCGGCGCGGCGATCGGCATGTAACACATATTAGCGCCTACAAGACTGCACGAATACTTCACGCATTGCGGCAAACACAGTGCGATCAGCGTGAAACGCATAGCGCCTACGAGACTGAGTGAATACTTCACGCATTGCGTCAAACACAGTGCGTTCAGCAGCGGTCGGCGTGAAACTCATCGCGCCTACAAGACTGTCTGAATACTTCACGCATTGCGCCAAACTCGGTGCGGTCTGCGTGGCGCGGCGGCGGAAGTTAAAATCGTTAATCCACATTTATGTTTGTTCTTTCATAATTTTTTCGTTCATTTCTTTTGAAGAGAAGGCCTTGATCGCACAGAGATAGGTTTACGAAACTTAACTTTCGCGCAAAGTTCCGTGAACTTTTGCTAGTGTTGTTGGCGGGGCTTTTCCGAAAAATGTGTTCAACACGAGAAAACGCGTCTTATGCACCCCTCCCCCGCTGGCACGTTCATTTGATGGTTTTATTGATGTTTCAAAACGAATGAGAAGGGGGCGGCAAAATGCAGGCGGCCCATGGAGGCGGCAAGTAGATAAATCCGGCTCTGTAAGAATCCAAGTAATTTCGAAACTTCAAACACGTATTTCTCGAAATAGCAAAAACTGCACTTATGCGACTTGTCCTCCAAACTCCTCAAATTAAAATCGTCCTTTACCGTGGATCTTGCAAAATAAAAATAAAAAAAATTTAAAAATAAAATAAAATAATAAAATAACCTCTTAAATTTCAAAGAGAACATTCTTAAAAACCCTCTTGCTTTTTCACAAGCTTTTGAGCTCTTCTCACTGTGTGTTCCAGGAAAACCAATGGGTAACGGCCACCCTGTAGCAGCTGTAATCACAACTCGTAGCATAGCAAATAGTTTCCAACAAACGGGAGTTGAATATTTCAATACGGTAAGTTCCTACATCCGAATTAAGTGCCTATTGGAAAAAGTGTTCGTGACAGAGATATACGTAGTTTTGACGGATTCGAGGAAAATGAGACTGGAAGTAAATAGTATGGAAACATACATTCAGTAATTGGACTGCATTTTGCAATTTGGAACTATAGATTCTGGCCCGGTTTAAAAACAACGTATGTGCCATTGGTTTCCCTACGCATATAAGTGTTTTTTCAGATGAGCAAGAATCTATAGTTCCAAATTGCAAAATGCAGTCCAATTGTTCTTTACAATATTTTCTTATACATATCGACGGTGAAACTACTAAACCACGTATCTCGGTTTGCGACGTCGCAGACTTCCTGTCATACTTTATTTTTTAAATGAAAGACTACTTAACGTCTAGTCTTGAAAATTTCTGTGATTTTTCCTCTTTGTGCGGAGAAAATTCTGTGAAAATTTCAAGGAATGATATTGATTTGGTCGACTTCAAAAAAATAAAATGCGAGAGTAGATTTTTAAACACCGCAAACGAGATACGTGGTTTGGTAGTTTTACCGTCGATATACAATCAAGAAAGTAGTTCAATGGTTTTCTTAAAAGAGTCCGTCATATTGTGCCCCTTTTTTGGAAACTAAGGAATTTCCTTTAAACCCATCCCAAGGAAAACCATATGATGAGACAATCCTCCAGATAATAGTTTTTTAGCTTGAGTTCAAACTCGTTTCGGCGATGCAGTGCTTCAAAATTGGTTTTTTCTTGTTTTTTTTTTTCTTTTTGTTACTATTAATATTGTTAATCTTTTGAAGTTGTTCGATTAAAAAACTTCCTCGATCGAACTTCTTTTTTTATTTCATGGGGCAAAATTTCGCCGATTGATGTAACTCGGGCATTAAGACTGTTTTTGACACTACTATCTATCAATCAGTCATCATGTCACGAGACAGCGATGCAAAGTCTTCACAATCAGGGCCGGATTTACCAATAGGCCACATAGGCTGTAGCCTAAGGCGCAACATTCTGAGGGGCGCAAAATCTTTTGAATAAATTTTTTTTTTTTTTTTTTTTTTTTTTTTTTTTTTTAATTCAAAGGGTTATTTGTTATTCTCCAAAACCAACTTGCAAACGTAAACGTGCCTCAAAACTGTTTAAAATCGTGTTATTTTAAAGGTGAATTTGAAAATTTTCCTGACACTTAACATCCTCCTTCTGATCTGGAGGGGAGGGGTGTCTGGAGGAACCCCCCCCCCCCCCCCCCCCCACGAACGCGCCTACTTTTAAGGGCGGCACTATAAGTTTAGCCTAGGGCGCTAAAAATGTAAATCCGGCGCTGTTCACAATGTGTCCGTGTACAGGCCTTGCGGCCACCAACGCAAGTTTGCTGCGGCGGAGCAACATCGTGAGAAGATCCAGACGTTGCCATATTTCTTCTGATTAAAACTCCATTTCGAGGAGTCTGGAATAAATTTTCTTGAAATTTTCAGGACCAGTAGAATAAATTGCGCAGAGAATTCTTTAAGACTTCTTAAATTAAGAGCTCACGAGTTTCCTCGGCAATTCGTATTCAATCTGAGGAAATTTGGCAACGTCTAAGTTTTCATTCGACGTTTTCTCTAACGCTTCAGTATTGATATCCAGGCAGAGCGCAGTGATATCGATAACAACCGTGATGCAACTATTCGTGATCTACGGACCTCCGTGTTGCATACTAAAAATTGAAGGCGCTCCGAATATTCCCATGAAGCAAAGCGTGGCAACACGCTGTCACGACCCGGTGTGTTTGTGAGATAATATCCTGATTTGTGAAGAAAGTTTAACAATATCCTTCCCTGCTCTTTCTCCTCCTTCGTCCTTGAATTTCGTATTCCCACATATTCGTGCCGGCACGGCACATACCACAACGTGCACTGCTTCGCGGATTAGAGTGACCAGAGCGCCTTCCATTTTTTCATATGCAACACGCGCGCCCATAAAGTACGAATAGTTGTATCACAGCGTTATTATCAAGACAATTAACCGCAACGTCATGTTGACTGAAAATTTAGCACGAGAAGCCCCGCCACGTTTATTTTCCTCTTCTTTTTTTTCTTACCAGAGTGTAATTTAAAAAATTAAATTAAGAAGAGAGCCCATCTAAAAATGTCAATATTTTGAAGTTATTCGATAAAAAAATCCAACCACAATCGAACCTCTTTTTTTACTTTCCCTGGCACAATTTTTCAGCTGACATTAATCAGTCATTGAGAATGGCTTTAAATTGCTCCCAAGACGTTCCATTTTTCAAAAATTTTCCGGGGGAAGCCCCGGACCCCTCTTAGCCCAAGTTCTATACCCTTCTGTGCCCCCCCCCCCCCGAAAAAATTCCTAGTTCCGCCCATGTGAGCGAAGTTGTCTTTTTGCCCGGTTGCAGTACGGCGGGAACCCGGTCTCGTGCGCGGTGGCGAACGCGGTGATGGACGTTCTGGAGAAAGAGCACCTGCGGGACCACGCGACCCAGGTGGGGAACCACTTCTTCAACTCCCTCTGTCAGCTCCAGGCCAAGCACCCCCTTATCGGCGACGTCCGCGGGGTCGGACTCTTCATCGGCATCGAGCTCGTCCGGGACCGCGAGAAGAAAATCCCCGCCACCGAGGAGGCCGAACACGTAGTCGCAAGGTAACAGCATGGTCCCAAGTAGCAGTGGTCGCGATAAATAGCGATTTTATCGGTTGGAGATCGCGATTATACGAGTATCAATGGCAATATATCGAGATATTATCGCATTAAAAATTTCGATATATGGCGATTAAATCGCTACTTATCGCAATTTTTGGTTCGGTAAAATGGTGATCAATTTTTTCGATAAAATCGAAATTAAATCGCCATTTATCGCGATTTTTATTTCGAAAATATCACGATCAATTATTGTCAGGCGATAAAGCGCAATTTTATCGCGATAAGATCGAGGATAATCGCTCAAATTTCGATGATCCTGGCGATTTTATCGGCGATAAAATCGCTATACACAGCGATTTTTTTGTTGAAAATACTACTAGTTGTCTAGTTTTCTTGACAAAGCTCATTCCCTAATATTTCCCTAATTTCCCCTGATTTTTAGGAGCTCATTTCCTGATGAGAAACCGAAGTTTTCTCCAACTTTCTCGGGATTTTCTTGAGGAAAAGAATATAACTTCTAGAGTTTCAGTTATGAATATCGATTTTCATTAATCTTACAGCCATTTCTTTGGCGCACATTCATAATTTTAATTCAAAAAATGTTCCTGGTGTTGATATTATCTGGTCAATGGAAGCTTCTACATTATTTTGATGATTTGAGGCTTTAAATGCGGCACTCAAGAAGTTAAAATTGCCGAAGGCCGACGGACGTAGCCGAATAGCGCTCGGTCAGATTAGACCGCCAAATTTGAAAACGAAATGATCCCTGCATGGGTGGTTGGAGAAGAGATTCTCGGTCTCTGGAACAAATTCCCTGATTTTCCCGGTAAATTTTCATTGCCTGATGAATCCCGGTTCTTCCCGGTTTTTAAAAAACTAGACATCATGGAAAAGGGTAACTGCCCAACCGTTAGAGAGATCATGAGGTTCCAATCAATGGGTCAGTTGCGCTGGTCACAGAATCGTGTTTTGGTGCTTGATTATAGTAGATCAGCTAAAAATAATGAGATCCGTCAAAACAGCAACTTTCTACGTTCAATTTTAACCAAAATATTGCCCTTTGAAAAGTCGGGGTTTTGACGTCATCCAACGCGGTAGTCACAACCTTGATTTCTTCCACCTTGCTTTCATCCAAGTTTCACGTTGAGTAACCAGTGAAAATGTGCGTCTCCCTATCAATTGAAAGCAAGATGGAAGAAACCAATGGTCTCACTACCGCGGTGGATGACGTCAAAAACCCGACTTTTCGAGGGGCAATATCTCGGTTAATACTGAACTTAGAAATTTGCTGTTCGGACGGATCTTATCATTTTTAGCTGATCTACAGAATCAATCATATAAACACGATTCTGTGCCCTGGTAAAAATTGGCAGTAGAACCTGTGTTCCAAAATATCATAGACCTACAGCCGGCTGTTAGATTTCCAATAGCTTCTATAGCCGGCTAAACAATTTCTTATAGCCTTTTATAGCCGATGGCGATTAAGCAACAGCCAGGCGATAAAGTTTATGCTATACGTTACTAAATACGGATACTAGGACTGAGTTAGTTTTTGGACTACCGCTCTCTTTTTGTGCCGTAGTATCTTGATTTATTTTGCAAGGAAAGCTCCGTACTTTTGATGGATGCCTGCCATTTCTAATATATTAGAGCGCCTTCAGTTTCGTATGATACTGTGCAATACCTCTGGTGTGAAATAGTTGCTTCAAGCGCCGTGGCACGCTGCGGCGCGGCAGGGGGGCAGCCAGCACGAAACGCGCATTGGCGCCTGCGAACCTAACAGGGATACTTCACGCGTTGCGCCATGCGTGAAGTATCCCTGTTAGGTTTGTAGGCGCCAGAGCGTCGCCGCTCCGCTTTGTGTTAGGCTCTAATATTTAATCTGGCGGAGTCAGCGTTATTCAACTCATGATTTTGAAATGTTTGCACATCCTGTATGGATTATTCTCATTTTAATTGATGAAAGAAAATATGTATTAAAGGAAAATATAATGTGTGCTTCGTCAATATTAAGGTGGTTCCGTATTAAACTTAATGATTTCCAAAGCACACGAATTTCTACACAATTTCTTTTAGCCTTTTATAATCGATGACGAAAAAGCAACAGCCATAGGCGATAAAGGGTAAAGCCCGGCGATAGGAACTTTAGCCCGGCTGCATAATTTTTTATCGCTTCGTATAGCCCGGCCGTATGATTTTCTCCGCATTCTACAGCCAGCTATATGATTTTCTGTAGCCTTCTTTAGTCGGCTATAAGAATTCCTATGGTATTTTGAAACGCAGCTCTTATCGCCAATTTTTACCATGGTGACCAGCGCAACACCGCGACCGAGATGCGCATTTTTGCAGTTTCTCCGTCAAAATGTTGCCAGTTTATGACATTTTCATCATTTTGAAAATCTAAGCCCGTAATCGATGTCTCAGGCGCAATCAGAAATCGCCGGGCGGTTGCAATCTATTTGTATTTTATAAAAAAAGATTCAAATTTAGAATTATAAAAAGGAGATGGATGGACTAATTTGTGCATGCTTTTAATTAAAAAGACGTTATTTCTCCTTCTTAAATGCATGGCAGCAGCTAGCACACTCGTAAACGCATGCGTGGTGAGATTACTGATCTCAGTTGGGTTCGGTTCGGAGAGGCAACCAAACCCACTGCCTTGCAAGGCGGAGAGTAATACGAAATTTGAAGGCGCTCCATGCTGAGTTCGTGCTTTAGAAGTTTTTTTATCAATGAAACCTTTACTATTCTAATGCAAATAATTGCAATTTGACGAGTTAATGAGCACTTGCAAATTGCCGGTGATTGTTGACTGCCTGGGACGCACAGCGAATCGAGTCAACCAGAGAAGTCGGACATAACATTATTAACTAAAACTGCAAATTTTGATGTTAATTTCGTCACATTTTAAATTTTAAGGGGTGATTTCATAAGAAAATTTAACGAGGAAACCAATGGAAGCACTTTCAGAACCTCAAAATTTTGTATGAACGGAGTTATAAGCTCTTAAAGTTTCCAAATTTTGTCCGACCTCCCCCAGTGACTCGATCCGTTGTGCGAAATCGATAAGTAATTGAACCGTAAGCATCATTTTTAATATCAAACACTTTCATTGTTTCATTCATAGCAATAATCACAATCATTCATAACAATAATTTGGAACAATCTTCTCATTCCAGGATGAGAGAGGAGCACATTTTGATAAGTTCCGACGGGCCGGATCGAAATGTGCTGAAGCTGAAACCGCCGATGGTTTTCACCGAACAAAACGCCGATCTCACGATTAAAGTTCTGGACCAAGTCCTCAACGAGATAGCATACCTAGATTTCAACCACGAGTCCTCGGAGAAGAGGAGCAAAGCGGATACAGAACGACCGGTGAGTAATGATGTTATTGACCCATTGAAAAGAAATCGTCCATTTAAAGTTCGCCTTCCATTTCGCTGCGTAGGCAACAAATATACCGCAGAGCGCGAATAGTTATCTATTCGAAAAACACACACACACCGAAAAAAAAATTATACGTAACTAACTATGACTATTTCAGTCATTTTATTGAACTGTTACTTCGGCGACTTGACTAAACTTTGTTTGGTGTACTTCAAGTACTTAACTCATTGAAACATTTCTGTGATTGTTATTTACTTCAATTCTAACACAAAGTATTTTAACACCATTTTCACACATTATTTCGATGGCCAAAGTGTGTAATTGCGTACTTCCAGTTTACGATGCCCTGACATAGGTACTTAATTTTTTCTTTGGAAAACTGAGCGATGTCATTACTTGAAAACTTCATTGATTTTCTTCTCTGCCCTGGTAAAAATTGGCAGTAGAATCTGTGTTCCAAAATACCATAGACCTAAAGCCGGCTGTAAGATTTTCAATAGCTTCTGTAGCCGGCTGTGCAATTTCTTATAGCCTTTTATAGCCGATGGCGACTAAGCAACAGCCAGACGATAAAGTTTATTCTATACGTTACTAAATACGGATACTAGGACTGAGTTAGTTTTTAGACTACCGCTCTCTTTTTGTGCCGTAGTATCTTGATTTATTTTGCGAGGAAAGCTCCGTACTTTTGAAGGATGCCTATGTTTCTTAATATGTTGGAGCGCCTTCAATTTCTTATGATACTGTGCAATACCCTGGTGTGAAATAGTTGCCTCAGACGCCGTGGCACGCTGCGGCGCGGCGGGCGGGCAGAGAGCGCGAAACGCGCATTGGCGCCTACAAACCTAACAGGGATACTTCACGCGTTGCGCAATGTGTGGAGTATCCCTGTTAGATTTGTAGGCGCCAGTGCGTCACCGCTCCGCTTTGTGTTAGGCTCTAATATTTAATTTCGCGGAGTCAGCGTTATTCAACTCATGATTTTGAAATGTTTGCACACTCTGTATGGATTATTCTCATTTCAATTCATGAAAAAAAAAAAGAAAAAAAAAAAATATGTTTTAAAGAAAAATATAACGTGTGTCATTAAGGTAGTTCCATATCAAACTTAATGATTTCCAAAGCACACGAATTTCTACACAATTTCTTATAGCCTTTTATAGCCAATGGCGTTAAAGTGTAAAGTCCGGCGATAGGAACTATAGCCCGACTGTATAATTTTTTATAGCTTCTTATAGCCCGGCTATATGATTTGCTCCCCTTTCTACAGCCAGCTATATGATTTTCAATAGCCTTCTTTAGTTGGCTATAAGAACTCCTATGGTATTTTGAAACGCAGCTCCTATCGCCAATTCTTACCAGGGTGTTAGCAGAATATTCTCAACAAACTTCAAACTGTAAAGTTGACTTTTCCCCTTTGAAAAATAAAATAGAAGTTGACATTTTTAACCACCGGAATGAAGATACGTGGTTCTGTATTTTGGCCATTAATTTCCGATTTTTTGGAAGGTTCAATAATAAATTTTGGCACATTGTTTCAGGAGGAACTTTCCAGCCAAATCATAAAAACGTAGGTGGTTCAAGTGATATTAATATTAAGTAATTTTAAGAGATAATTTTAGTTGCACAAGATTCCATGTAAGAACATCTCATGAAAGTGTAAGTACAAATTAAGGGGATTAAATTCATAGAAATTAAGTCTGTACCTAGGTTTAAATTAAAGTATATATTTTTAAGGAGCAAAAATATCCTTTAAGAAACTGCTTGCTTGTTGTTCTACTCTTTTGTACTCTGAATAAGTATTTTAACTCTAACTAAATTTGTGTATTCTTTGAAATCATAGAAAGGTTGGTATCTGATACCTACCTCTTGCATTTCTTCCTGCACTCCAGTCTTGAGGCATTGTTCAAACACTGTGCCTACAGCGTTGCAATGAAGCTTATCAAATATTTTAAAAGCATTGTGATAGTAAGTTACAAATTTTATAGATAGCTTAGTTTTTAAATAAATTTGTTAAATTGTTTCACTAAGAGTTTCTTAATTCGTCTTTCATGGTCATCTTCACTCAATCTTTGAAAATGAAATTATAGTTTTTTTGTTGTTTTGGTTTCATTCAAATGTCCTGTTAAAATTTCAATTTTTTTCCTTCTATTTCTATTTCTTCTAGGAAAAAGCACTTTCGTGAAACAGAGGAGGATAGCAAAACTAAAATAACTGAAACAAACATCTGATTGGCAGATGCATTTAAAATATGATCTCAGTCAGAGATATAAGCTAACTAAAGTAAGGGAGGGAGGGAGGGAGGGAGGAGAGAGAAATTCCACTGCCTGAATCTACTGCTCTGAACAATATATCAACTGTGAAACTCCCAAACCACATAGATATCTTGTTCACGATGTTTAAAAGCCTCTGCTCCCCTTTTAAATTTTTTGAGGAGAACAAATCAATGTCATTCCTTGAACTTTTCACAGAATTGTCCTCGCACCGTGGAAATTCAATTAAATTTTTAAGCAATAATGCTGAATAGATTTCCATTTAAAAAATAAAGTATGACAGGAAGTCTGCTAGGTTGCAATCCGAGATTTGGGGTTTGGGAGTTTCAATGTTGATATCGCTTGAAAAGGTGTGCACTGAAAATGAGTCATCTCAAAATATTCAAAGAAAGAATAAATATGAGTGCATAAAAAAGGAATCAATCTTAATATATAAATAAAGATAGCAGACGTCAACAGTTACCTGTAAGAAAACTAAACAACATCTATTTCACTGATATGTATCCCTGCACCTGACTGTGAAGTATTTTTTTCTAATTTAATGATTTCTCAAATGAACTCCAGTACTTAATATTGGAAATTAGTGTCCTAGAAAAAAATTATGCTACAACTGCTTGATTTTAAAACTTTTATTGAGTAACATATTTATCACAAAAAATAACTAGTTGTAGAACAATAATAGGAGAAAGAGTACAGAGCGATATTGTAGACACAAGTGTTGCTAAATGTTGAAACTACATAAATATGATTACGCACTAAATAAAGTGATGTTAGTTAAAATGCATTTCAAAAATAAAATCTGAATTACTTTTTCTCTAACCGCTAATTCAAGACTAAAAAAATGAGAGGCTGTGCAGAGTAAATGAGCCAAATTCGTCTATCACTGCGTGGTGGTTTGATGGTTGAGATTGATGAGGTACCGAACAAAAACATACTAAAATCTTTCCATACATCTAGATTCTAAATCCAATGTTGAAACAGTTGGATGGACTCAGCCTGATTTCGTTGCAAAATGCCTAATTTTCTCACATATTTCAATTCTATGATAGAAAACTGAGCATCAGGATGCTTTGAAACTTTCTACAATTTTTCTTTTGCTCCTATAGAATATACTCACAAAATGTGAGGCCTAGAGGTTGCTTTTAGATTCCATTTAGAAAAATAGGCAACAGCTGAATTAATAAGGCTGATTCTCATTAGATCTGTTTCATTAATGTATTCAATCTCTGTATTCGTGCATACAATAAACCACTTGACAAGGTGCAAATTTCAGCATTCTGATATATGTTCAAAATTATTTCTATTCTAGAATTTCAAATATGTAGAACACAATTTGCTTAGCACTAATTACTGTGAATTTTGAAGAGAAAACATAACTCATTATGTTTTAAGTCGCACCTTGTCTGGTGACTTTGTATCTTCCATGTTGGTCTCATACTTGAGCATAAAAAAAATTTACTTGGGATGAATCAGAGCGATACTGATGATACCATAATGAAATAAACCTGCATACACAAGTGCGGTGATTGATACGAAAACATATTGGCAATTTTATTGATTCAGATGATAAGCCATGATGACATATACGTATTATACGTGTTAAAAGTGTAATTGGAAACTTGGAGTTTCAAACGAATTTTTTTTTTTTACTTTTTCTGCTCTATTGAGCCATCAAAAACAACCCTCCATGCCACTTACGACTGACTCACCCAAAAAAAAATAAATACAACAAGTGATATCACAATTTCAGAATTTATAAATGTTTTGGTTGATTTTCTCATCAAAACTTGATCTCGTTCCTGAAGCGCAAGGGGCACTTGCATACAGGCAAAAACTTTTAGGAGAATGGAAAAACAAAAACAAACTCACCCGCCACTATCCTAAATAGCGTATACTGATGGTATGTGTCCCTAGAAGCGATTTTAAAGGTATGATAGTTATTTATGCTCTAAAACTTATAAAAACCAAAATACAAAAAAAATTAACACAAAATAATGTATCTGCGCATCTCTAGCTCTACACAGAAGAGCCCATAGATAACAACAGAAACCCATTCTTTACAAACAACCTTGTGTTTCCACTAGTCAACTTTTTATACCTAGTAATATAATGAATAGTCATTAGGCACTCAGAGCAATAAATGAAAAATTGAGCTGGCGAGGAAAGAGAGGAACTCATAAGAACACTCGTTATCATAATGATTTCCAGCAGTTTGCTGGATCTGCAACTGGTTCAAACCGATAGGCATCTCATTCTGCTCTCCAAAATTCCTAGATGCACTATGTCTCATGACAATTTTTCGATACAATTATTTCCTTATCATTACTTAAATCGGTATAACTAGAAAAACAAACGTACATCATTTTCAGTCTTAGTAGAGGATAACTTTGGAAACCGAAAGTGAAATAACAGAGTTCAACATAGCATTTATGATGAATACCACCTCGTGTGACAATACAAGTTCTCTAATTAATCATTCTAAGAGACAATATCCACTCTTTGACTGAGTACAATATTTGACCAAAATCCTGTAAAGTTTCACGTTCAGATTTAGAGCCAAGATCCATACTCAAGTCCAAGTCTGCCAGAATGAATCAAAGGACGTAGTACAAACTAATCACTACAATAACAGGGTTGCCACAGAATTTAGAGGAAAAAAATTCCCTGACATTCCCCAAATTTCCTTGTCACACTTAGGTAAAGTTCCCAGACAATTAAAAATTTGCCAGATGATTGGAAAGACATAATTTGAAATAGTTTTCACACAAAATCTGTTGTTCGAAACATCAAACTCATTCTAGAAAGCAAATCAAGGTGACTTGACAATTTTTCTGACACTTTCGTCAATTTTCCTGACCTTTAAAATTTCCGGACATATCCCGATATTCCCTCACTGAGGCAACCCTGCAATACATATTTCCTCATCAAAATTTTACATTGAATATGATGGCAACATTGAAACTTTCAAATTCAACTCATTAGTTAGAAAAAAAATGATTTTTGTCTTCACTAATTTTCACTTCTTGCTCACAGAAAAACCCGCGTCTACTCGGGTAAAATTTGAAACTAAACTAATGAATCAATATGTTTTACAATGAATGAATTTTCCTGTGTGCTACCTTTTTTCGACAGGAGAGGAAATGTGTGCGAAACATAGTTCTAGTTACTTGCCTCTCAAGGTCAGATGCTTCTGATGACGTTCAACGCTCTTTTTGAAAATCTTTACAACGAAACGTCTCAGCTTTTTTCTGCTCTTGGAACTTTGCAAGTGCCATCAGTTTGGAAAATTGTCGACCAAATTCGTAAAGTCAAATATGTCATCAGTGAAAAGTCATGAGCAGAAAAATTATAAAAATGAATTATCTACAATAAGACACCATTTAGAGATAATAAACGATGACCTTACATATGTAAATGTGAATGATGGTGCATACATAGGAGGAGGATGTGCTGCTTTTTTGGTTAAACGTTTTGTAAAATACAATGACATAGATATTTTCATATTTTCTAAATTCTGCAATGAAGAAGAGGAGTTTGAATTGAGGGGTTCAAAGCAAGATTTGGCGTACACCAATTACGATTTTATCGCAAGTAGGAAGTTTGAATTTACTCTTTTTATGTAGTGTAAACTACGAACGTTTATTTCTCTCTTACAAATGAATTATCGCAGTTGCGCATAGGTTCAATGCGTTCAGCTAGGAATTTTTTACAGAAAACATGAGCGGTAGTGCTTAATTTTGAATCCTGTATGTCCATTAAAGATTCGCACCATAGATAGCTCAAATACCTGAATTCCTCATCTGGTTTGGAATTCACTTCTTAAACTCACATGGATCAGACAATGCTGCTATTATTTTGACAAGTTCTTCCATGCTGCCATACAAATTTATATTCTCCGTTTTTACCACAAAAAGAAGCAAAAAGAGTAATTTCCTCATAGAAAATAACAGCTATGCAGAAAGACTCAAGCTCAAAAATATCCTAAGTTTTGAGGGAAATTTTTTTTTTTATTCATTAGAATGAAAATGGAATCAGGACCTTCATTTCAGGATTTGTGCCTTGAGAACTGAAATTGGACTTCATTTTACAATCAGGAACTACAACTACTGGCTTGGTTTGGTTAGAAACAGAGTATGTACCATTCGTGTCCCTATGCACATAAGTAATTTTACCAATGAGCCAGAAATTGCAGTTGCTAATTGCAAAATGCGGTCCAACTAAGATTCGCGTAAATTAGACTGATTTGATTAGAATCAGTGCGACTACATGTTGCCTAACTTTCTCTAATGTTTGATTTTTTAAACAGGAAACTAAGCAACACTAAAACATAAAATTTTGGGAATGTATTCTTCATTATCTAGAATAACTTCACAGAGAGTTTCAAGGCGTTAAGTAGTTTATCCCTCTGTTGAAAAATAAATAAGAGATAAAATAAGGCAACATGAAACGCAGTTAGGATGATTCTTGTTTAATCTGTCCAATCAAGGATCCATTTATTCCTGATGTCAGCTATTTTTAATTTAAGGCATTGTTCATGTTTAACACGTTCCCTGCTGTTGTATTTTGTTTACTAGGCCAAGGAGTCACTTGGAAAAACAAAGAAATGTGATGATTGTATATTACTGTTACCAAATATTGCCAAAACAATCGCTCTACCTCTCGGTTATGTTCATAAAGATACAATAAGTAGTACAGTTAAGTTCATACACGATAAGTTGTGTGGTGCAACTGCAAATGGCATTTTTACAACTTGGCATCAAGGTAGAAATCACAGCAGAACAGACCAGTTACTTTGACCAATTTGATCAGAAACAGCTGACAAAAAATTGTTATAATAACTGACTTGGCAAGAAACGTGTTAAAAATCATATACTACCATAATGTATACTGAGAAACATATTTAAGAAAAAAACAGAATCTATGTTCCAAAATCTGACATTGTTCATGTAATAGCTAACATGTGAGTGTTATGTTGGGGTGCAAAAGTGAATGTTCCTACTCGTTTACTCATGTGATCATATGAATCTGAAGATTCTGTACTCATCTGTAAAAACTAATTTTAGAGAAGAGTGTTTATGCCCTGAAAAATCATTTCATGATTCAGTAAGACCTCAATTTATCGGATCGCTATGTATCGGATTTAAAGGATCAATTTTCTGGTCCCTTCAAGGGCCTCAAGTAATTTGAATAAATGGATTCCACAATTTAACGGATTGATTCGTCAGTCCCGTAAAATCCGATAGATTGAGGTCTCACTGTGCATCTTTTTTGATGTTTCATGAGTCCAATGATTGTGTCATTTCAACATCATCTGGAATTTGATCTTCATTACCGTCATCACTTGCATCCTGCTCAGCTAAGCCACTCTCCTGTGTCTCAGAGACAAAGGATTCTCCAGAGTTTGTTTTGGCTACATTAGAAATCGGTGCTGAACTGTTACTTAAATTCACAGTTACAGTGGGCAGTGTAGTACAAATATTATCAACATGCTGGGACCTTATTTCATCATTCCCAGTTGCAGACTTTAGATTTACTTTAGGAGGACATAGTTCCCTTTTTGGTGGAGTCGGGAGCTCTGATTTCTTGACGGGACTTTCAGAATCTGAGTCAGAGTCTGAAATGCTACTATTCCTTCTAAACGCTGGATGTATTCGCCTCTTAGGGCCAATGTGAGAGTTGCTTAAATACATTTTACTCGTACCTTCCAAAGGATCAAGGGAATTGGAGTCTACCTGACCAGACTGAAAACTGTTTAGAGAAGTTTTGGCTGCCTGAGTTGAATCTGTGGCATTGCATTTTCCGCTTTTTACACTAGGAGCCTGAAAATTTAAAGAAACGTTTTTAATAAGGAAGGTCCAAAACTAAAAAATTTGAGTTTAATACTTTTCCGGCGAAATGGCTTGGGTTTAAAAATTGCTGTTTTAAGAAAAACAGATTTTGGATAGTATAAGTTTTGGTTAAAAATGGTGGAAGGTTGATTTGACAATGGGCTTGCTGCAGGCAAGATACAGCCACGTGAATAGACTTGCTTGGTGTAAAATTTGCTCGAAAATCACGATCGACACACGAAAAATCTTGAACCTATTCTTTAGCGCACAATGTGCGTAGTTTGTGACTTGATTTTTCAAGTATCTCGGGTCAGTGGGCAGTTTTTTTCAGTCGCCCCCGACCAAGTTTGTACAATCAGAGGAGTGAGAAAACCTAACCTGAATAAAAAACAATATTGTAAACTTATTCTAAAGTATGATTTAAATCATTCTGAAGCGGTTTCCTTTTCTCTTTCTTTACTTTGCAAAAACAAAAGCTTTGAATCGATTGATGTCTGGAGAGTTTTTGACAATTCACGAGATTGATTATTCATTTAGGTTAGGTTTTCTTGAGTCTCTCTCCGGGGAAACCTGACTGTCGGCCACTTAGGAAAACTGCCCTTGGGCACGGTAAATTTGAATGAAAAAGTTGAAAACTATGCAGATTGCACACTATGGAGTGCATTTCAGACTCTTCTGATGTGTTTAATACAATTTTTGTGTGTTTGAACCTACAGAAGGTCTATTCACTTTGCCGCATCTCATGCTTGCAACGGACTCATTGCATTTGGGGAAGGCTTAGCATTTACTGCACCCATGCATCTAACTATTATTTATGGTCTCCACATTTATATCAACCAAATGAGACGAGAAAAAACACTAAAATTATCTTACGATACATCTTATTTGATGTTTCACGAGTCAGATGATGGTGGCATAGACAAAATACGACCAAACAAAGACTTAAAACGTTATAGATCTCTCGTCGTGACCTCAGCTAAATATTCCAATGCATCTACCTGAGCGGAACACTCTCCCCCTGAGTCTTGCACTGATACTCATCAGAGTCCGAATTTTGGAATCTAACGGAAATTTTTGGCCTTTCTTTCCTTCCACATTTTTTTTTTTTTTTATTATTATTTATTCAGCAACAGATTAATTAAAAATGCCATATTGGCTTACAAATTACGCCACGATACTCACTTTAAAGTCTCTGATGAGGACAATCGGTTTCATGAATCTCTTCACTTTTGGTTCCGGTTCAGAATCAGACGAGTCATCAAAATTTAACTGTGGGACCATACATATGGAGCCTGAATGTTTGAAATCGCCTTTAGGATGCCTGCAGTCATCTTTCTTTGAACCTTTAACTATAGAACAAAATCTCTAATTACGACAGTTTTAAAAACAAGCAAAATCAGTTCGGGAAACTTTTTTCTCTCAACAGTTTTGCTTGCAAACTTTCAATGAAAAGTTTATAAGCATCCTGTTTACAACAGAAAAACTAGCCAAATTTTATGTAGTTAATAAATAATCCCTGGTTCAAACCGAGAACGCATTTTCAGTTGCCTTTTAAGTTGGTTTAAACCGAAACTACTTGGAAAAGGAATTTTTCCTCAACAGAAAAATAGAATAAATGTTTCCCCCCCCCCCTCTAGTTTCAAAGAATATTCATTTCTGATTACATATGCATTAATACTCCTTTGCAAAACTACCACCTCTTGTCTTATCAGTGCATACTTAAAAACATATGTCAGTTGATTTTCTTTATTATTGCATTGATAAAAGATTACAAACGGTTATTATGCATAATATTTTTCAGCAATAATCAAAATTCAGGGATTTTGTGCTAGTTCACAGTTTTTTCCCAGGATTCAAGGGTTTTCTTGAAAGTTTTTGGGGAGGATTTCCCCTTGATCGCAAACAAGGTCTTATGCAATATGCAAAGTAACCCAAATGAACAAGAGTAGGTGCACTGGAACACAGTCATTTGAATTGGCGGGTACAGAAACAGAAATTGAGTTACATTTTTCAACAAGTTACCATTAGTGCAGCGTATTGAAAACGCAATTACTAGAAACAACCTTACGAAGAAATTATTTCATGCAGCCTAGACTACTTACAAATACTTGGGCATAAATTCTGCCGAGTACTGTAATTGCTGGTCGTTAATTGTAATCAGGCATTTGAGGCACCATCAGCTTTGACTCCATGCTGAGGCTTGTGAAGCGGACAGAGATACCTAAATTAAGCTGTTTTCGAAGATACCCAGCAAAGCAAAACGCCCGTTGAAGCAAGAGCAGCGTGCCAGCACACTCGGTGGGCAAAAAATTCCCAATTTTTTCGGGTCAATGAAAAAATCGAATCAATGAAATCAATTGAAACCTATGTATGAAAGAAGCAAGTCCTGCCTGTCAAAGTCATCTGCAATTTCCTGACTTTTCTCTGACTCAATGAAGGCATTTCCCAGTTCATTTTTGTAAGAGAACACTGAAAAGAAAGTCTATAGACCTATCATTCTTACCGAAATGTTTTGGCTTGCTCTTGATGTTCTTGACAAAATGAAGATTCCTGCGGTGTTTTTCAAATGACAAAGGATTTGGTCTTTCAGGCTCTGCAGCAATATCCTAAATAAAACGCAACACATAATTTTAATTATGAGGTTAATGAGGAGATAACAGCAACTTTCGAACAGAGATTTAAAGATGTAAATGCTCATTAATTTTAAACTAATAGAATAGCTACAACAGCAGAAAATTTTTTTTTTAAACAAAAAAAAGAAAATTAAGAGAATTTAAGCTTCCTGCTAATGAAAAAAACCGAGATCATTACAGGTCAAATCAGTCACCTTCTCATTTGGCAAATATTTAGAATTTCATGATGAGGATTTCCTTTGATACATTCAATTATTATAAACATGTCAAAAAAGATCCAGAAAAAAGTAAAAAATTTACTGAAATGAGTTGAAGACCCAATCAATCCCAGTAGACTTAGATCTTTTCGGCAAGCGGGAAGTCTAAATCAACAGAGCAAAAAACGCTGATTGTTCATAAAATATATACTGCCAAACTTCATTTCTAATCCTGCTGGCGGATTCACCAACAGGTCTTTGCTGTAGAAAATCCACAGAATTCCCCAAAAAATGTCTGGCCAGGGTGGTTTTCTGCTACGAGCAGGTTCCTTTATGATTATGTTTCACTGTAGTCTGAATTTTTTAAATGATGTGTAGTCAGTGGCGTGCGGTGGGTTTAGTGACAGGGCAAGCTCTAGCGTTCGCCATCCGGGGGGGGGGGGGGGGGG